CACACAAAGAAAAGGGCAATTATTATAAAAAGGGAGAACATCACAGACAAGGCACGAAGAAAATTACCATAACACACCGACCCCTTAAATTAAGCTTTCATTATACAATTCATATTAAAATATTTCCACATTTCGTAGAACTTCCTTGCTAATTTGACTGGATCAAGATCAGAAACCGGCATTTGATCTTCCCGCTAAGGACGCGCTGTGTGGGTTTAAGCTGTTGGTTGTGGGAAGAAAAGAATGGATAAAGGAGGAGGTGCACCACCAAACTCTAATTGCGGGACTGCTTTACTGTTCATGCACAAGTGAAGCGTGATAAAACAGTTCCCTCTATTTCAGGATGGTGTCCTCATGAAAGAGCCATCTCCCAAATTGGGGATTTATCTTTATCTCACCAAAGGTCAACATCGCCCAGTTAATTTCCTGAGGGCAGAGAGTTAAATTTGCTACAACAACGACATGGGTTTTCCAGAGCTTTCTGTGTGTAATCGGTGTAATGAAAATATTAAATGGGAATGACATGAGGTCTAAAACTGGAGGCTCCGGTGCCTCTGACTCACAAATGGAGACCAGGGTTCCACTCCCTGCAGCTGTTTTGATTTCCTCAAAGTGTAAAGTTTCAGAATGAAACGTCATTCCACACTTTTATTTGCTTCTCTAATGCATAAAAAAGCAGCTTGAACTTTTAAAGAAGTCTGTTTAGAACGTTGCCCTCCGGTGCTGGCAGACTCAACAGTGTGTAGTGAAAAGGAGCACTGAAGATGAACGTTCTTATGCACAACAGAGTTGGGTTATCCGGGGTTCCAATGAAGGCAACTGGAATTCTTTGGTTTCTTAAGACGTTCCACTTTTCATCCGAGGAGCTTTGTCAGTTCTGACTGGAATATGGGAGGGTGAAGCTTTAAACTTTCACTCTCTAAGGTTGCTTAAAGAACAGAAACTACCTATGCATACCTCCCCCCCCCCCCCCCCCCCCCCCCCCCAATGAGTCATCTATGTCGTTAGCCTCTTTTGTGGGAGAATCGTTGTACTGATTAGATGCAACAAGATGTGACCTTACATCATAGCTCAGGAGGTAGAGTGGGTTGTCCAGTAATCAGAAGGTTGCAGGTTCGATCCCGGCTCTGACCAGAGAATGCTGTTGTTGTGTCCTTGTGCAAGACACTTAACCCGCCTTGCCTGCTGATGGTGGTCGGACGGACCGGTGGCGCCAGTGATCTGCAGCCTTGTCTCTGTCAGTGCGCCCCAGGGCAGCTGTGGGTACATCATAGCTCATCCCCACCACCGTGTGAATGGGTGAATGACTGTGTTGTGAAGCGCCTTGGGGGGTTGTAGAACCCTAAGAAGGCACTATACAAATACAGGCCATTTACCATTTTGTATTTACCGACTGAAACGGTTTGGGGATTAGGTTGTTGCAACATGTGTTGGACAGGTGAAACCTGAGGCCTTTCCCTTCTATTTAATGTAGGTTTTTCCTGTCGGACAGGAGGTAGGGTTGAGAGGAAGACATAGGCAGTTTCTGCTCGTTGAGCAACATTTTATAGGGTTGATCCTTCCATATTTTAGTCAAAATTGACAAAGCTCCACAGATAAAAAGCAAAACATCTCTTTTTTGTCTCTTATTTAATTCAAAATAAAAACAAATAAAACATATAAACAATAAGAAATGCATAACAAAAAAATCTAATTTGAATGAAAAGGAGCAGAATGAAGAAAAACATCTCATAATTTCTGACCCCTTTTCCAAAAGAAACAATCAATTTATATACAATTTCCATTTGTCAGACACACATACAGATTCATTTTAAACTTTTTCCTGTTCTAGATTCCAGTGCGATCATGATCATTGATTTAATTAACATTTGCATAATTATTTAGTACACTCAATTTGGTACATTTTTTTAATATAGTAAATGACGGGGTTTTTTATTTCCCTTTTAAGGTTATTCCATAATTTAACACCATTTACAGATATATTCCATTCCTTAATTTTAGTTCTAAATCTAGGTTTTGTAAACACATCAGTTTCTTTCAGCATATAATTACTAGTTCTCTTTTCAAATATCCCCTGAATGTTTGTTGGCAGAGTACCTAAAATGGCTTTATACATGGTTTGTAAGATTTTCCAGTCTTTTAAATCATGACATTTCTGTCATTTATATTTAATAAACAATGGGTTCAATGGCTCTCTACAGCCACTATAATTGATGATTCTCAGAGCTCTTTTCTGTAAAATAAATAAGGGTTGTGTATAGTTTTTGTATGTTGTTCCCCAGATTTCTACACAATAAGTCAAGTATGGAACAATCAGTGAATTGTAAAATGCCAACAAGCCAGAATTAGTCAGTAAAAACTTGACTCTATGTAATACTCCTAAGGATTTGGCAATTTTACCTTTTATGTAACTAATATGGGATTTCCATGACAAGTCTTCTTCAATAAGAACTCCAAGAAATTTAGTTTCTTTTGCTCTTTGAATTGCAATCCCATCTATTTCCAATTACACATCACTGTTCTTTTTATCATTAAACAATATAAAATCTGTTTCGTTAAGATTCGGTGTCAATCTATTTAGATATTCAATAAACTGTCATGTTGGGAGGCAGTTTCTTGATCCACGACATGCAGATTCACACACGGGAAACAGGTAAGTGTAAAAAAAAAAAAAAGATTATAAATGAGCTAAAGGAGTAGCAACAGGAACTGAAGGTGCTGCATACAGGTAGCAGGATTCCAAGGTGGGGTTCTGAAGAGGGTGACAGAGCGAGTTTCCAGGAGGATTTGTGGAGATACTGGCTTAGATGGGAGCTTACCGTTTTCCAGTAGCGGTAGGAGGCACGGAGGGAGCTTGGTCAGGTCCGGGAGAGCTGAAGGGGTCCACAGAGTGAAATATAGTTTGTCCAGAGGTGAGGTTGTTGCAGATGCTGGTGAAGGCAGGTGAGCGGCTGAGAGCGGACGGCCAGGGGAACAGCAGTGTGAGCTGGAGTGCAGGAGTCTGGGCTGGTTATGTAGACGAGGGGAGATGGAGTGGGAAACCTGGAGGCGAACAGGGGAGAATTGTCTGAAACTTTCAGGTGACAGGTTTTCTAACAAGATGCAGAACTTCGAGGAAGGTTACGTGGCTAGAGCTACCCAAAAGAGTAACTATCCAGCCAGGTGTTGTCTCACACTGCTCCTTAAATCCCCTGGACCTTGATGACAGGATCAACTGCAGCTGTTGGCCCTCAGACACGCCCACCAGCAAACAGGACTCAGAGAAAAAAGATATTGACAGGCAGCTCACCTCGGACCATGGCAGAACCCAAAGAAGTCCAGTTGCCTTATTTTGAACCCCTTGGATTACCATGACCTGGACAACTGAAAACCTTCATCACCAGCATAATGTTGGGTTAGATTGCTGCCCTTTATACCTTCAATGAGAACTTTGTTGTAAACGTTCTTTTTTTGATGGTGAGAATAAACTTAGTAGGTATGTTTGTATCTTTGTTCTTCAGTTGTAGGATAATAAAATCAATATATCCTGTTTGCAGGTGCAGCCATGTTGGGTTTTCAAAGCTAGAGTGAGCTCATTACAGAAATGGTGCTGAAAGTCCCACCTCCTCCACTGCAAATAATCAAGATTTTTTTTAATTATCAAAATATTAATTAGAGCTGAGCATCTAACAAAAATTAATATTTGAATATGCTGATGCAAGGTGAGAGAGGGTGAAGAAATCAATAAAAACAAGTGAAAAATTATAACCGAGGGATGTTTGGTCATCATAGAGAAAGTTTGTGCATTCAAACCAGACACTAGGGGGCGCATGTTTTTTATTTGGCTTCTAATTCCACTTTCCGATTTTGTAATTAAATGTGGTGGATGGTTTAATAACCCTAGCAATCTAAACAGTAACAGCCATAGACATGAATTTGCAGATGCCCCAGGGCGTAACAGCATTGTCGCCATATTGGGTGGGTTCCTCAGTCCAAACCCACCTGGAGTCAACGCAGAGTGGACACCTATGCCTGTTTTGCAGCCTATGGTTGCAATAACCGGCATACTATTGAAAAGAGATCATGTGGGATTACTATTGACTTTTCTAGCACACCTGTTGGGATTTTATATTTTAATTTTTTTTTATTTACTATATTTACAGTTTAACTAACATGCCATACCAAGTATCTGTTTTTGATAAAGCATAATAAAATGTGTCTGTTAGTTGGGTAAACACGTTCCTCAGTAGAAATAAAAAGAGCGGGAAAGGGAGACCCATCCAAGATGGCAGCCGGCCACTACAGCAGCTCCAATAGACAAAGCCGATCCACGGGAGTCTACGGCTGTGTCTCAATTCAGGGTCTGCATCCTTCGAAGGACCCAGCCCACCCGGCCGACGTGGGCTGCGTCCTCCGTCGGCCGGGTAGACCGGATGTTAACGGCTGTGAATTTGGACAGGCCTAGCCTTCATGAACTCCCTCGGCGAACGTTCCGTCGCCTAGCAACCGTGGAACCGCTGGGCAGAAGGAACCTTAAACGATGGAGCTCGACGTTTTATTTAGCTTTTTAACCCCCAGAAACCCAAATTTAGAAAACAACTGCAAAATATTTTTTAACCCCTCACATGTTGTTATAGGAGGCCAGATAAACGGGTCTATTTACACATTTTAACAGCCAATAGTGTTGCAGAACTGAACAATAGGACCTATTAGCAATGTAAATGTGGTTTTAAAAAGAAAAAAAATGGGGAAGGTTTATTTTTGTGGACTTAAATCTGATGTTGTAATATTACAACCGTGGGTCTCTGGGGGTTAATCATTTCCTTGACTGTTGGAGAGCTAATTCAGAGAAAATACTTTAGACTAGCTGAGCCTGAGCAAAGATGTGTTAATAGTTTTTAATACTTTCTAAGGGTCTTAATTTGACCAAAACCGATTTATCACCTTTTAAGACTTTTCAAGACCCAGCGGATACCCTCTAGTAAACAATTCTCATTTGTAAACAAAATAAAATTCAAGAGTTTAATGCAGAACTGATTTTATTTAGATATTTCTTTTACATGTACATGTTTAATCTTCCTTAACCATTTTTTTCTAGCAAAGTAAAAAGCTGTCAAAGTTCTTCCTTCTCTCCTGTGCTCTCTGCTGCTCTGCCTCCCTCTGCAGCCTCAATTCCTCCCTGATCAGCTCCAGAAGCTCATCGCTGGCACCTTCCCCTGGATGCCCATTTTCTCCAGAATAGTCTTAACAAACATGTAAGAAAAGAAACAGGAAGAGAAAAGAGGACAACGGGTTATTCCTTTCATGTTTTCGCAGAAAAAAATAAACTCAAACGAGTTTTTAAAATATGAGATGTTATTGTACCTCCATGCCACAGCCGCCGAATACTTTGCTCCGGTGATCATGTGGTCCATCTCCGCCCTAAGCTTAATAAATTCCCTGGTTTTCTCTTTTGGTCCTAAAATACAAACTTCTATTAAAATCAGGGGGAAACGTAGCGGGAGAAGTACGACACCGAGCGCGGCCGAACATACGAGCCGAGACCGCAATACAAGCACTTTTACTAAAAATTTCTAACTAAAATAACGTTCATGTATCACAAAAAGTCCTTAAACTGACAGTTTTCAAGTTTATACTGACATTTATATGCGCAATCCTCTCCGACAGCTCCCGCTTCACTGTCCGCCATTGTTTTTAAGTTTTTCTGCCGGCCGGCCCGCAAGGCATCTTGGGAAATGCTACCTATTGAAGGATACACCCGACCCATCCTTCATTCAGGCGAAAAGAAGGCCGCATTCGTCGACCGCATTTGAAGGAGTCTTCGAATTGGGACAGGCCGAGTCGCGGCGCTGTGACGTAACCGGCCGACGAATCCGGCCGAGGTAGGATCGTAGGATGCAGACCCTGAATTTAGACACAGCCTACATGTTTGATTTCTGTTTTAACAGAAGCCACAATGTAGCTTTGCTTACCGGGCTAGGTTTTAAATAGTGAGCCTAAGTCACGCCCAGCTACTTTCGGGCTGTGGGTCCCCTAATGCCTACGAGCCAATAAAAGCTCATTTCTGATCTTGTTTGATATGCGTCATTTTAAAAGACACATGTTGATGCAGAGAAAGCATTTCTTTTTAACTGGTGGCAAAAGGTACTTTAAGTTTTGTGTGAAAAGACAAAGAGAACCAGACGTGGAAGAAAAGTAACCGAGATTAGCGAGCTACGCATCCTTCTTCCAGGACTAAATATGAGCATTAAATGTGGACAAAACCACAATAAATCTGGCCTTGTATTAAGTGGGGGAGTAGAGAGTTTGCTGTGACATCATATATGCAACATCTGAACTGTAGTCATTTTACGATTTAGAGTTAATACGAGATATTAAACATGATATTCAAGAAACTCTTGTCAAAATGACTTATATGTTGTTATTAACAAGATACGGTTTCTATTTTTTTTTTTTTTTGCGCTGCACTGATGTCAGTACGCTTCCATACTTTTGGCCATTTTATTTTAATTTCTCAAAATTATAGAGCTTAAGGCTAAAATGGAGGAAAGCTGGTGGGGAAACAGTTCTCAGCTCAACACTGTTATAAAACAAACAGGTATGCTGATGCCACAACTATGATGCTGATGTCATTTGTCAGCTACATCCTTGCTTTTTTTGTGATAAAAAAAAGACATTGTGTCAGATGAATAATCCAAATAAAATAAAATGTTTTAGGATCCACATACATAAAAACAAATGCACCAAGTATCTTGTTAATATTTGGAAAATGATCCTGCTTTTTAGAAAATTCTGGGGTTACTTTTGCTCAAAGTTATAAAACAGCCCCAGTTTCAACAAACCTGCTCCTTTAAAATTAATAGCTGGGTGTGTTCCAACTTGTAACGGATACCTTAAATTAATCCCAACATATTGTGCCGCTAGACGATAATTGCGGGTCTCTTTCGAATGGCGAGGAGCTATTTAGTCAGGTGATAATTATTCCAGCAATCATCAAGCCACACAGCAAATTAAGCAAGCTACTGTAGTCGATAACCGTGCTTGTGATCAATGTTAACTTTGAGAAAATACAAAATTACTGCAAATTTGATTCTGTCGGTCAAAGTCAGGAGAGAAACAACATGATTAGGGATCATCCAGTCAGGTTTTAACTAAAATTATGATCCCGAATGATGTGATCCTGGGATGAGAACGGCCTTTTCACCAAGCGGTAGTCGCAGACTGCAATGTGATACGTAACATACTGTAAATAGCTGAATCCCTGACAGGGAAGGAAAGTCTGAAATACCTTCTCGCTTTCTCCACACAAAGACTTCACAGAATCAATATGTTAACTGAGATAAGAACTGACCTTGCACTTCGGGGGATAACTGTGGCCAAGTGTCAGAGAAGAGCACCACGCTGTGGGGCAGTAAGTCTTCCCAGCCCTTTGCTGCTTCACTGTGCCATACGTTTTCGATTGGCTGCATGAGACAGCTGCCAGTTGCAGATGCATTGAGATTGCTGTGATTTTTCTTTTTCCTCCCCCCCTTCACACGAAACTCAACAATGAAAACACAGACAAGGATGGATGACCTAATGTGATACTATTTTTGAAAGGTTAGCCTTTTCTCCATTTCTTCTGACCACCAGCTGTCCCAAATCTGCCCTCAAAGACAGGTAGCGTGGCCCATTTAAAAAAAAAAGGCATTTAGAAATGCCACAATCATTAGCTGGATAAAAATCACTCCTGCATGTTTTCACTTATCCAGGTTGTTTCATTTGAGGAGATATTGGGAGATTTTACAGCAAATTCCTCCAACGAGCTCTAGATCCAAAGAGCCCCCATGTATCTGTAACAGTGATTATTAGCTGGCTTTATGCAGCTTAAGCCTTTTTAAATCTTACTTGGGAAACTCTAATTTGGCAGAAGCAAGATTTACTTTGAATGTTGGGAGAAGGCCAGCTTCAACCTATTTTTCTCTTTGCAGAATTCAATTAACCAACCGGTGAAGTCAGCCAGTGATTTACGGTTTCCTGTCCCTGGGATCATGTATGAACACGGCCATTTAAACCAGGGAACAGCTTGCTGTTAACACATTGCCGACCATGGATTTGCACTGCCATCTAAACCTGTACTTTTATTGAGCAAAAAAAAAAAAAAAAAAAAAAAAAAAAAAAATTCATGACAGAGTGTCTTACTAAACAGGAGCTCGGATATAATTTCATGCTTGAGAATACAAAGCCGATGTGAAGCCTGACCCTTTCTATACATCCTGGCAGTAGCCATAACGAGGAGACGCAAGTAAAATATCTATTATGTCTGTCGAAGGCAATGAAGTGACCTTTGTAACTCATGTTCCTGCATCCAGATCAGAGATCCAATCATAATTCTCTGCTATCAAACAAATGTTCATTAAGGCTTGGTCTCTCTGCAAAAATAAAATGTTGAGGACTTATCCGAGTAATTAGACCTGCACAATAAATGCTATTCAGAAGAAAATGTTAAGCAAAAATGATTATTATAAATTCAGAAACACTCTGCTCTAAATCACATCCTAGCAGATGCATCTGGGAGGTGGCACAAACCTAATGAGCTCACACAAGTGGAACCAATTAAAGGTGTCCTATAAGAGATGTTACAATGGCTCAGGAGCTCTGATGAATTCAACTACAACCCCCAAACAAAGCCCTGCATTGAAAAGATATTGGTTTACCCGGCCAACTCAGCCAGGACATGAATATTAAATGAGCTGTGTTCTGATTGGCTGATTTATCCTGACGGCTAAATGATCCTGCTCGAGGCTCAATCATGGAAGTTAGCCGTAGCTTGGGCTAGCATTAGCAATTGCTCTGGCAATATTATACAGCAGCTTTGGCTAGCATTTGCCTGCAGTTAGCATAATCATGACCTACATTTATATACTGCAGACGTTTCAGTGGGTTGCATGCAGATTTAAGGTGCTGGAGTGCTGATGCTTATGACTTGTTCAATGTGTGCTACACTGATTTAATTAGTAAATTTGCAGTGGTCTCTAGTAGGAATGAATGCTTTGTAGGTTGTACTCCGGGTACAAAAAGTCCTGATGCGCCTGTTTCAGGATCTATAATAATAATAATAATACATTTTATTTAAAAGCGCCTTTCAGGACACCCAAGGTCACTTTACACAAAACACGTAATAAAATACAATAAAACAATAATAAAACCCAAAGAAGAAAAAAACAGAGAGAAACATTTCAATAAAATCAGAAGTTGTAGGCAGATTTAAACATGTGTGTTTTGAGTTTTGTTTTGAAAAGGGTAAAACTGTCGATGTTCCTGATGTCTGGGGGAAGTGAGTTCCAGAGACGGGGAGCAGAGCGGCTGAAAGCTCTGCTCCCCATGGTAGCGAGACGGGCAGAAGGAACCGCAAGATGGATGGAAGAAGAAGATCTGAGTGAACGGGACGGGGTGTTAATACTTATAAGGTCTGAGATATATGGAGGAGAGAGGTTGTGGATTGCTTTGAAGGTATGGAGGAGAATTTTGAAGATGGACCTGAATTTAACTGGGAGCCAGTGAAGCTGCTGGAGAACCAGGGTGATGTGGTGAAAGGAAGGGGTTCTGGTGATAATACGGGCTGCTGAATTCTGGACCAGTTGCAGTTTATGAAGGAGTTTGTTGGGGAGACCATAAAGAAGTGAATTGCAATAGTCGATACGGGAGGTGACGAGGCTGTGGACGAGAAAGGCGGCAGTGTGAGGGGTCAGTGAGGGACGGAGATGGTTTATGGAACGTAGATGGAAGTATGCTGACCGAATTATGTTATTAATGTGAGCCTGAAAAGAAAGTGAGCTGTCAAGAATGACACCCAGACTCTTGACATGAGGTGAGGGGGAGACTGTGGCGCTGTCAATAGTTAAGCAAAAGCTGTCAGATGTTGAGAGGGTGGAGTTAGTGCCAACAAGAAGAAGTTCAGTTTTATTGCCGTTGAGTTTGAGGAAATTAGAGGTGAACCATGATTTGATTTCAGAGAGGCAGAGTGTAAGGGAGGATGGTGGGAGAGTCGAGTTGGGCTTACTGGAAATGTAGAGCTGGGTGTCATCTGCAAAGCAGTGAAACTGGATATTGAATTTGCGGAAGATTTTGCCGATGCGCCTGTTTCAGGATCTAGAAGACTGCCAGATCAGAGGACAGCTTCAGACGGCATCATTTGGAGTACTACTTCCTGATATTTGGACATCTCACCTAAGATTGGATAAAAACAATGTGACCCTACCACTGACCGTTCACTTTGCAATGTTGATGTTTAATTTCCACAAATACCACAAGCCTGGAGGAGTTTTGCCGTGTGGTGGAGTTGCTGCTAACAGTTAGCTTCTATTAGTCGAGACGTTCTCTGCGGTTTCCTGGACACTAAACCAACAACAGCCTTCCTTGTCATGAGTCAAGATGGGTGAGTCCATGAATGTTAAGTGACAGTGTGATGTCACGCTGTCAGGCTTTTGAAATCCTAGAGTTTCACTGTCTATTTTCTATCAGAAGCTAATGCAGGAGATAGGTGAAATCCATTTTAATGTTCAATCATTTTAATGTTTAATAATGATTTAAAAAAATTCAGTGAACCTCACCTTTAAACTTTAAACTCTCCCCTTGAGCCTGAGATCAGTGGACTCAGTGGTCTTCAAAAAGCAGCTGAAAACTCACCTGTTCAGGCTGACTTTTGCATCACCATCCTCTCCTCATACCGCTCTTTCTATCTATTCCACCTTTTCTGGGATCCACTTATCTCCCTCTTTCCTATAATTTTCTTACTCTCTTTACATTTTTCAATCACATTTTTTATTTACTTTCCTCATTTTAAACATATTTTTTACAAATCAGTTTTATTTTTT